CAGGAAACCTGCTCGGACAAAGCTTGGCCCAGAATATCGAGTCTTTCCCCCGGCTTCAACGACATCCACCCGTTCCATCGCGATCTCATGAACACCCTGTACGATGCCGACCACCTCAAAATCGCTCTTGGCCAGATCTCGACCTGCAAGTCGCTCATCGAGAGTGTTGGTCGTGACTACGTCCGTCTTCTGAAGTACGGCCAGTCTCTGTACCAGTGCAAGCAGCTGAAACGCGCTGCGCTTGGTCGCATGGCCACACTCATCAAGAGGCTTAAAGACACCTTCCTGTACCTCGAGCAGGTCCGCCAGCATCTCGGTCGTCTGCCCTCCATCGACCCCAACACTAGGACGCTCGTCATTTGCGGCTTCCCTAATGTTGGAAAGAGTTCCTTCTTGAAGTGTAAGCTGCCCCGTCGAGTCCTCGCGGCTAGGAAACTGGACTAACGCGCATCTGCAGCCGTGTCTCGCGCCGATGTCGATGTTCAGCCGTACGCCTTCACGACCAAGTCCCTCTTCTGTGGTCACTTTGACTACAAGTACCTTCGTTTCCAGTGCATTGATACCCCCGGAATCTTGGACCACCCTCTTGAGGAGATGTACGTCTGCCGCAAACCACACTTGGGGAAACTCAAACTCATTTTTTGCAGGTCCACGATCGAGATGCAGTCCATCACAGCCCTTGCTCATTTGCGCTCAGCGGTCATGTATTGTGAGTACATGTGTCACGACTTGGTTTGATGGCCATTTTCTAATGGATCACAGTCATGGATCTCAGTGAGCAGTGCGGCTACTCCGTCGAAGCCCAGATCAACCTCTTCGCCTCGATCAAGCCCCTCTTCTCCAATAAGCTCGTCTTCCTCGTCATCAACAAGATCGACATCACCAAGGTCGAGGACCTCGATGCCGAGACGCAGGAGAAGCTTCAGGGCCTGCTCAAGTCGGGCGAGGTCGAGATGCTGCAGCTGTCTTGCAACACTCAGGAGGGCGTTCAGGACGTCAAGAACGCCGTCTGCGAGCGCCTCATTGCTGAGCGTGTCTCGCAGAAGCTGAACGCCGGCACCACCAGCAGCGGCGCCATCGGCGGCCGCCTGGCTGACGTCATGTCGCGCATCCACGTCGCGACCCCGATGGGCGGCCAGACGCTCCAGACTTTCATCCCCGAGGGCGTCAAGAACCTCAAGAAGTACGACAAGACCGACCCCGAGCGCAGGAGGCTTGCGCGGGATGTCGAGGAGGAGCAGGGCGGTGCTGGCGTGTTCAACGTCGACCTCCGCGCCGACTACATCCTCGCAAACCCCGAGTGGAAGTACGACAAGATCCCCGAGATCTTCGACGGCAAGAACGTCGCCGACTTTATCGATCCCGATATCGAGGCCAAGCTCGCCGCCCTCGAGGAGGAGGAGGAGAAGCTCGAGGCCGAGGGCTACTACGACTCGGACGAGGAGATCGACGACGAGGAGGAGGCCACCGTGCTCGCCCAGGCGGAGCTGATCCGCGAGAAGCAGGGACAGATCCGCAACGAGGCGCGCATGAAGAAGCGTCTCAAGAACCAGGCCATCATCCCCCGCAAGAAGGTTCCCATCCCCCTGTCCAAGATGGACGACGCGCTCGACCAGCTCGGTGTCGACACGACCGACATTGTGTCGCGCGCGCGCTCCCAGTCTCGGCCCCGCGGCCGCTCCCTCGGACGCAGCCGTGCCGGCACCGAAGACGCCGACGCCATGGACCTCGATGCCACGCCGCGCGAGCGCCTCCGGTCGCAGAGCCGCGCCCGGTCCCGCAGCCAGGCTGCTGTCAACCGTCGCGAGGACGGTGTGGAGGATGAGGGCAGTCGCACCAAGGCTGAGCGCATGGCCAAGCTGGGCCAGAAGAAGATGAACCGCATGGCCAGGCAGGGTGAGGCCGATCGTCACACTACGGCTTCGCTGCAGAGGCATCTGGTAAGTGACTCATGCCCGATCTTCCGTCCTCTTCCGTTTACTAACACGAGATGCAGCTCGCCGGCAAGCGTGGCATGGGCTCCACGAGGAGTCGTTAAGCAGCATTTTCTCCTGCTTCTTCTCGAAGCTGGTGGTCTTCCTCTCGCGCATATGGATCATCACTCGTGGCATCTGTTTCGTCGGGGAGTTTGGCGCGTGGTGGTTCTTCTCGGGACGTTACCGTCCCAATGGCTGCCGGCTCTTGAGAGCTCGTGGCCGGACATAAAAATGATCATGTTATTTACGACCTTTGGCAAGGAAATTGACTTTTGTTTCATCATCGCACCCTGGTGTTGCCGTGTTTTCCGTAACCTGACAACTCGTGTCCTTGCACGAGCCGCTTCCGGCCTTGGGTCGACCACCTTTCCACGTGAGAAAGGATCCTGCCACCGCCAGCCAGTCGACGTTTGCCGTGAGCATGCACGCTTCCGAGTCGGCAGTGCTCGTTGTAAAGGTCAGGGTCTAATACTTGTAATGTGACTGCCTCTGTCCCTTTAAGCCTTCGGCATGACAGATTCAGTCGCTCATCCGATGACGGGTGCATATTCACACACGTAGCTAAAACATCCCTTCGTAAAATGGTTGACGCATGTGAGAGTATAGCATGTTCCTCGACCAAAACAACATCTGTTTCTCCCAATACCACTTTCAGGTCATGCCGCCCATCCGTAGCGAGAGCCACCTGTGCCTCCTACGAGAACCCCTCTCTCGCGAGCTGCTTTGCTGCTTGCTACATGTTTTCTGTGGCTTTCCAGCACTTCCAGTATCCTAGGCCGAGAGAAGACTAGCAATGCAACCGGGCTCTCCATGAAACTCCAAGGCAAGCACGGTTGAAGAAGCTCAAGTGATTCAACCCGTTGCCAGCACGGAGACTGTGCTTCCACAAGAGGGTCTCCAGGTCGACAAGAGTGACAGCAAGGGACAGCAAAGGCTATGCCGATGCCTGATATGAACGCCGCCCCGATACCTCAACGACGACGTTGATGCCATGGGCTGCAATCCAGTCGATGCTCGGCACATCACATGATCCTGCGACCTGAAAGTCCTGCACTGATTTAACAATGACGACATCAGCAACTCTGCACTGTCATGACTGAAACGTTTCATGGACAAGAATGCGAAGTGAGCTGTCATTTTGCCGTCACAAACCTTGACTGTTTTGAACCCTGTTGGAACACGCATGCGGGCTGCATACGCTTGCTACAGGGCTTAACAAAGACTGGCACATGACCAGAGCATTGGCAGACTGGCTTTGCTATCGTTCATTGGGATCTGGCGTGATTCTGCCGGGGAAGGTATGCTCTTGTGAACGATACGACCAGTCATTGAACCCTGGGTGATGACTAGATGATGCTCAGTGAGACACCACCGCGGGCTTGGTGTGGAGATGCATTTGTATCAATTCAAGGTTCAACTTTCTCGCTCACAACGCTACTAACGTAAATTTGATAGTTGCCCGCCAAAGATCAGATAAATGACTCGTCTACGGAGAAGCTATCGCCAAAGCATCCATCAAGGTTCCGCCCCCGGGTTGTTTCCTCCGCTGTACTGTACTGGTTTGGTATATGTGCCTGGTTATGTGATACGTATCCTGCTGTTATTCTTTGCCTGTGTCGCTTACTCGTCAGCAACATTGATACCCTCCCTGAGGCCCTCGACGACGAGAGCCTCGCCGGCGGCGCGGCGGTAGATGTTTTGGACGTCGTCCGTGGTGGTCTCGAAGTGGCTGCTGGCGTCGTAGCTCTTGGAAACGAATACGTTATCCTTGGAGCCATCATCGGTGGGCTCGTAGATGGGGATAGGAGCGCCCTGGTTCAGTTAGCCCATGTCGCTGCCCTCTCCATAATCTGCAACTCACCATGAATTGCTCCTCAATCTTGCCAAGGCGCTCGAGACCGGGCTGCAGCTCGAGGGTGGTGGTTCGCTGTCGTCTCGGCAATGGTGGAGACGATTGCGATCCAGTAGCCCTTGGGGCAGACGTTGTGAGCAGAGGACACGGTGGCAATGTAGATGTCTGGTCAGGTCAGCAGTGTTCATGGTTCGTTGGTGCTTCGCTACTTACCATTCTTGCGGCCAACCTGGCTCTGGGGGATGATGAGCTGAGCCGAGTCGGCATCGTTGGTGCCAGACAGGGGGTGCTTGAGGATACAGATGGCGCGGAGAACCTGGCCAACGACCTTGACCTTGTTGGGGAAGTAGCTGGGGTCTCCGAGGATAGTCTTGGCCTTGGTCTCGAACTTCATCTCGTCCGCACCAGTCATGGTGGCCTTGATGCCGGCAGCCTTGCCATCCTCGTAAAGGATCTCGTCAATCTGGGTGTTGAGCATGTAAGTGCCACCGTAGATGGCGGAGAGACGGGCGAAGCCCTGGGGAAGCTCTCCTAGGCCGTACAGAGGGTAGATGTACGGAGACTTGCCGTAGCGAGCGACCGAGTTGCCGTAGAGGCGGATGCGCTCAATGGCCTCCGGAGCGGCACCGGGTGTGGTGAGGTAGTTGTCATCAGTGTACAGAGCCATGGCGTGGCCGATGAAGTCGCGGGTGCCGGTCTCGAGGCTGAACTTGTCATAGACCTCCTTCATGGTGGCGGTGTTAAGGTCCAGGCCTGTTCGTTTCATGTTAGCCGGATCTGTGACACGAGTCGACAGCTCAGGGGCAGTCGAGAGCTTGGACTTACCCTTGTGGGAGCTCGGGTTCTTCAGGTCGAAGGTGCCAACCCACTCGATGAAGCTCTTCATGCGGCGCTTCTCGAAGATGCCCATCAGGGGGGAGCGCAACGCCTCAGCAGCATCAGAAGGGACCTTGGCAACGGTAGCCTTGGAGCCCTGGCCCTGCTGGACGTAGCTGCCAGCGACCTGCTTGAACTCGAGGTACCTCGTGACATCGGTAGAGATGAGGATGTTGGTCAGCTCGCCAGAGGACATGAGGAACTTGGGGACAAGGTCGATGTTCCAATCATTGAGGCGGCCGTATTTGGTCCATGGCTCCTCGCCCTTCTGGTAGTTGCCATGCTTCTTGAAGAGCTATAGTGTATCATGTCAGATTCGGATTCGGAAGCAGTATTTGCAAGGTTCGGGAGATATACCGTCTCAAGGTTGACAGAAGCAGCCTCGCTGGCGATGCATTAGCTGTGTTGCCTCAAATCATGGTGGCGAGCGGGCCGTTGTCAGAGGGGGAAGCTTACCCGCCGTAGTGGTCGTTGCGGTCAATGTGGAGGACCTTCTTGCCCTTGACACTGAGGACACTATGGGGTCATGAATGTCAGCATAATTTGGCCGGACATGAGATTCGATGATTTGTTCGAAATATAATCGTACCCGGACAGAATGCACTCGGTCAGGCCTATACGGCGGTAGAGCGGTCAGCTAGGAAGCATAGGTAAAGAACCCCACGCCAGGACGATGATGCGGGGCAAGGCCGCGAGGGGAACGAGACGTAGACGTACCAGTGCCGAGGACAATGACATCGTACTCCTTAGCAATCTCGTCCATGATTGCGGTCTGGGAGCTGTTTTCGGTTGATTTCTATTGCGTGCCTGGAAAGGAGTGGCTGCGAGATGTGTCGGGATGAGCTGGTTTGGGTTGAGGGGGGGTTTTGGGTTTGGTTAAAGCGGAGTGGCCAGCGTCTAGGTATGATGAATGGGAAGGACTGGAGAAGCGGTCGGGCCTTCAGGTGGGCCTTTGGGGTCGAGGTTTTGGAGGGGTCGTGCATCGGTACAGCAGTGCAAATGCACCACTGTGCACCCGCCTGGCGAGCTCCAGCGCTTGCGACCATAATTCGCCGCGACTGGTCTGCACTGGGGTGGCTCACGAGGCGGTGGGCGGGATGCTGCCCTCGCAGCAGTTCTCGTCTGATTGAGCTCCTGTCAAGCTCGAAGGCACCCGAGACGACCTTGGATCATGCAGCATTGCATCGCTGCTGGGACGATTATCCCGGTCTGCTCGGTAGTAGCCAGCAGGGTTGGTCGTCTTTATGCAGTGATCCATGACTGCCCTAGGTACCTAGCTACCTAGGTAGGTACTGTGCCATGTAGTTCTTTCTAACCCCCTTGGACAATGCACTGTATTGGCATTGGATTGCATATCTCTCGAGGGCAGCCTCGTGACTGCCACGAGCCGGGATCACTGGGCATACATTCGCAATGCACATTCAAGCATCATGGGTTGTTCAAAAACTTGATGAACTCGGCTCCCTTTGCGCGATGCCCTCTTCGTATCGTACATCATTTCTGGATACGCTAGTACAGGTACTTTTTACATGGTCCCGACCGGAACTGACCGAGTGTGACCTTCTACTCTGACTGATAGTGTTACCCAAAGTATTTTTATAGTTTCTGCGACTGCACCGGCGCCTTGTCGCCGGCTGGCAATGTTGAAGGGTCGATCTGGACGCCCTCGACGTTGGCGGTGGAGGCAGCTGCATCGGTCTTCCGTGTGGCCTCCTCGAGTGTGGCCTCGCTCGGCTCAGCAACGAGGTGGTCCTCGCCACGCTCGTACGAAGGCTGGTACGCCTCACCGTTCCCTGACAGGTCGACCTCGGGGTCGTTCTTCGCCAGCTCGCGGGCGTCCTCCCACAGGTAGTACCGTTCGGTCAGGACGTGCTTGATGCCCTGCATAGTCTGCTGGACCTGCGTCGCAACATGTCAGCCCAAATGCCACGCACGTTTCTTCTTGTTTTGAAAAGTGTAAGACTCACCACCTGGTCCCTCTCGTTCGCCTCGTGCTCTCCAAAGCCCATACGGGCGCGGATGCGCTCCGCGTTGGCCGTCGCGATCCTGTTCCGCTCACGGCAACAGGACCACCACAGGGCGTGCAGATCCTCCCAGCCCTTTTCACGCAGTTCCTTCGCTGTCCACGCGCGCCCGTGCGCCTCGTCCTCCTTGGGCTGGTTCATGAGCTTGCCCTCGGCCGGGAAGAAACCCCAAAGCCCATGGTCCGCGTCCGTCTCGATCCTGGGTTTGAAGTCCACCGGCTTGGGGAGCTCGTCCCACGACACAGAGAGGGGCTCGCGGGGCCCTGTACGCCGAAGGGCGCTGACGCCACGAAGGCGGTTGTTATCGCGAGTCTTGCGTTTGCATTGTGCCGTTGAAGTCGAGAAGGGGGCGGCGGTGGAGGAGAGGAACTGCGCCGTGACGGCTCGTGTGGGCGTGATGGCTACGCGTGTGGCGAGACGGCCTATGGAAGGCCGCAGTGTGTTGACATTTGCCATATTGAACAATGGCTGATTATCTGTGGTCGAGGTTCAGGCTGCGCCGTTAGGGGGACTGTACAATATCTCACGAAACTGAAGGCTACGAATTGAGCTTGGGATTTTTCATAACCAATCACGCATCAGCATGATCTTGTCCCGGGCCTACAATGTACCGACTACTGCGCCACACCCCAGCCTCAGCGGTCTTGCCACACTTACTGGCTGGGTGATACCAGGTCAATCAGGTCAACGACTTGCTACATCGACAGTCGAATTTCTTCCAACTTGGCTCAGCCTTACTGATTTCAGGTGTAGACGCAAAGATGAGCTAGACATGTGTATCGACGCAGATATGTCACAAGGTTTTTGCCGCTGTGCAATCACTCATTGCATCGACGTCGGCAACATTGATCACAATGAGGTGCAGGCCAGGCGCCATTCCTGCCTGCGCTGCTGAACCAAATCCATCAGCCTTCCAAGGAAGGGACAACCTCGCGATGCTGGACGAACATGGCGGCTCTGGCTTCGTGCCCGTGAGGGCCTTGGCAAAACTCAAAATTCGCCTTCCGCACTTGGACGAAAGCACGGTCGTGCCCCCAATGTCTCCATTCGCACCACACGAAAGGTGCCCCCAAACGGCCAAACGGGGCTGACATCTGGGCGGCCTTGGAGGTGATCCGCCAGGCCCCTCCCGTCCTTCCTTCACTGGGTCATGCCGTTGTCAGATCGGCGGATCTCAGGATGGAGTCGTCCACCACACGCGTCCCGCTGTATCTTGTCCGCCTCTAGCTAGCTGTCATGGAGGTCATCTGGGTCCTGATCTTGACCCAACGCCCCGGGTCGCATCCATGCGGAGAACAGTGCCCCCGTCTGGGGGGGTGGGAGGGAATAGGGGGTGGAGGTGGTGAGGAGGCACCCTGGCAAGCTGTGCCAAAAAAAAGCCGCGTGGCGATTCCAGCACCAATTCCATCACCCACTAATTCTAGCTATAGAGGCCTAGGTAGACCTCCAAGCACATCCAGAACGCGTCAATCACTGAATTGACTAGATACTACAGATGATGCGAGATAGAATAGAAATAAAGGGCAGGATAATTGAATGATAGAAACTGGCAAGTTCTTCTATTGATATAGTGGTCCCTAACTAATACAAGTACCTATCTTTTTCCCACGCGGCTTTTTTGGCACCAGCTTGCCTGGGTGCAGCCCGCCCCCGAAGAGGAACCAGTCCACCGGTCCACCACACCTCAAGACTTCATAGATCCGCCGACATGGTGGTCATGACCACGGCGACACCCGTGAGTGGGACGTTGATGCGGCTCAACAGCGTCCCTTGCGCGGGGCCCGCTTTCAGTGACAGGTGGGACATTGATGGGGACGGCATCACGACGACATCTGAATGTTGTCTGCTCAGCGGACGAGCATGACACCAGAGACAGCTCTCGGCGCGATGCATCAATTCGACCGCAGCTTCCTCCATGGTCATGCGGGTGGCCTCGGAACACACCTCGAAGCTGAATCTTCAACCTTGCCCTTCAGCTCTCCGGCATCGCCGCGCGAGCCTACCTGAACACACACACACACACACACACACACACACACACACTCAGGTGCGCATGTTGATGGCGTGCCGGCGTGCATGCCAATATGCAGGTAGGTAGGTACTCTGTCTTGTCTTCTGTGGTCTTCCCCCGGCATACGTGACCGGCACCTTATATCCCGCCACCGAGGCCATGAGCGACTTAGCACTTCTTGTCTGCGCACCCTGCCTTGCCTGCTCAGGCGATGAACTCGACTGCAAGGGACCTTCAGGCTGAATGGGACACCGGCCAACAACCGCCGCAATTGCGTGCATGCCCACCCATGCAGGCCGTCAAATGCGGGCGTCTGAACGTATTCAGAAACTTAGCACACCTAGGCAGCTGATCATCGATTGACGTGATGAGGTGGAAATGCCGTCTTCGATATCACGGACTTGGTCGCACACGACGTCAATCATGCCCGCATCGTGAACCTCGTGGCGCAAACCTTCCATTGCAGGAGCACAGCTGGAGAAGAAGTGTGTCTTCCGAGTGACCATTGGAATACACGAGGGAACACCGGATTGTCGTGTACAGGAACACCTCAAAGCAAACTTCGTGACCAGTGCTGCGTCGCAAAACACGCAACAGCAGGAAGGCTGAAGGACTTGGGTGTGCACACCGCCCACCGTCACCGCCGCTGTCGCTTTCTGTCGGTTAAATTGTCGCCGTAGATGGACGTCAGGTCCCCTGCATTGCATGTTGATGAGCTGATTAGAAAGCGGCTTGCATCCGACTGTCCGTTCTCTGCTCGGCCACATGACCACGAACTGCCATACTGGTGCGACAGGCCGCGACGCAATCACAACAACTGAACAGCGCGCATTGATCCCAATTGAACAGGGGTGATCTACCGCTCATGCGCAAATTTACAGGAACACAAACGCAAGAGTCAACATGTCGCTGGCAGGATGAACATGAATAATGTACAACGTCACGGGAGAGTAGGGCCAAGCCCGTTCGTTCCAACGCGCCCGAGGAAACCAGCTAACAGTCTCGCCTTGGTCTTCGAGGACATTTCGGCGATGCCGCAGCTGGCGTGTGATTTTCAATCCTGGGGGGGCACCCACCGCCAGTCGGCCGTCGGTACTTTGCTGACGATCGACGGGTTGTGCCCTGGGCGGCAGGTATACTTGAAGGTAGTAAGACGAACAAAGAGCGCGGCTGGGCAGTCTTTGACGATGTCGCTGGCGAGTCAAGAAAGTCTTTGGATAACGGTGGCAGGAAGGCTACGGGCAGGCTAACGCGCACCCTGGCCAAAGAACTGCAGCGCGTAGCCATGTGCCAAGTGTGTCGGCATCCTGTCAATCTCCAACCAAAACTTGATATCGTGAGAATTTTCGATGCACCTGACTCGTCAGCCTCGGTCGGATGCGGTCCAATGGCCGATTCATAAGTACACGCCGTCTCAGAGCGGGCAGTAAGTCCGCATCGTCACGATATTTGTCGGCGATGTGGTAATCGCAATGCTCCGTATGGCACTGACTTCCAGGATGGCTTCGGGCGTGACAGACCCATCCGGTAAAAGCGTGCCGCAACAGGCCAGGGGTGTTTCTCCGTCTAGGTAATGTGCGGTGTCCGTGCCATGCGGCAGGCAGAGCGATAGCCTGGCCCTCAGCCCTCAGATCCATGGGAAGGGGAGGGGGGCGGGGTCTTGTCATCACGACCTAGAGTTAGAGTGAAAGAAAGGTTTTTTCTATTTTTTTTTTGCAACATTCATAAGCTTCCGCAGAAATCAAACCCCCTGCTGCCCCTTCTGTCGCGCCGAGGTATCGTGATTCTAAGGTTTGTTAACAAAGGGACAGCGGAGGGTTAAAGGAGAGGGAAAGAAAAACCAACCACGCGTAGTACTGAGGCAACACGAAACTAAGTACTTGGTGAGTGTACCAACAGCAAGTCGCTTGCTAGCTCGACTCACTGGGACGCTATCACTTGCCAAGGCCGGTGCCAGGACTCCTTCTACAGACCAATGGTGTGAACGGATCTCTTCGATCAGACATCTCCATCAGACCGAGGCACCGAGTGTATACCCCTGTCCAGATCGCCAGCCAAGCCGTCGGATATCCTTAAGCAGAAGTCCGCTTTTTCTCTCGCAGCCAAGGATCTGCCACGAGGAGCGGGCGAAATGTTGTGGTACCCACGACACATGCTCAGCGGTTCGGTAGCGTCGGACATCCACCAAACCTCAAGGCTGTACGTGTACAGTACGTGGTATGCCGCGAATGCCACGAGGGGGGGATCATAACGGCAAGGCTTTGTGGCAAACTCTTCCTTTCTTCAATGCTTTTCTTGTGTATTGGCAGAATAGCTTCAGATCTCATTCGGTCGGGTGAGTCGCAAAATCGAATAAGCTTCCCAAGTGACGCTTCCATGACATGATGAGATGTCTCTCGTTCGCTCGTTCGCTCGTTCGTTGTGTTGTCGACCGCTGATCATGGGCGTATTTTGACATGGTATAGGGGAGTTTACAACAGGGTGGGTCAGTCGTCAGCCTGGTACAGGTACTTTGATCCTTGACTCGGCCGTTCTCTCGCCTGCGCCGAGAAAGGGTCAGTCATGCCTCGACGGCGAGGCACCTGATCTGACCTGAGCTGCGAAAACGGTACGTTGCGTATTTCTTGCTCGGCCGAAGCTCGGCAACGGCGGGTAACTTGTGAAGATTATGTCTGCCTGCCAACGTGAAAATCGCCTCTCGAATTGAACGCGAGGTCGTCCATCACGAGGTTGTGCGGAGGCAGGGAGGCAACTGGTGTCACGAACTATTGTGTTCGTCAGAGAAACGCGGTTGTCCAGGCTGGCCATAGCTTCAAAAGGGCCACATCTTCCATCGCAGCCTTCTAGAATAGAAATAATGGAGTCGACTGATCCCGCAAAAGGGTTCGATGGAGTATTTGGCCCCCCCCCCCCCTCCCCTCCCAATTGCAGGTACACCCGTTGGACCATCATCGTCCCACAGCAGTTGGCGTTAACAGGAGGGTCTCCCGTCAGAAACGCATCAACCCCTCCTTGCCCTCGCACTGCCGTTCGAAGCCCTGCAGTGGTTCGGCGCCACCAGACCAGGATGTCGGCGGCTGTCGGTGGGGGTAGCACCCGCAAACGGATTCACAGTTCGTGACGCGGAAACGCGTTTGGTTTCGCTGGCCTGGTACAAGTGTTCGCGAACAGTTGTGTGAATGGGATATCGGCGTGGTTAACGAAACAGCCTAACCGGCTTCTCTGCGTGTAGTCAGAATGCAAATGTCGTTAGCATCATCCATACTGGATTGCGTCCTGAAGAGACTCGTGCTACATACATGTACAGAGTGCGTGCTCGACTTCGATCGATCCAGCGCGTTCGTGGGGGGGGCATTCCTTGGGGGCCTGCTCCTCACCAGGGACCATCCACAAGCCCCTGACCAACATACCCTGTCACGCTGGCAGCAAGGTAGCCTGTGAGGTAGCATGGAACCAGATGCAACCATCAAACCTGTTGAACACGCGCACCCAAGTCCCTTCCCCTCCAATTTGCCAGCCACTGCTTAATATTCAGACGGTAGGGTAGGCACGCGGGTCGCGGTCAGTAAGACGGAAGTGCGGGAAGACGGCAAAACGGCGCTATTGGACGCGAGCGAGCTCGAGAATATATCGGAAGCAGGGCACCGTGTTTTGCTTGACTCGGTCTGGCCGCGCTTGATTGCCCGATCAACTCGCGTTCCTGCAAAAGGTACTGTCGTGCCAGTGCGTAATGCTGTGCATACCAATTCCGACACCCATGGCATCCAAGCTCTCACTTTTGTCGAGGGTTTCGGTGGATTATCCCCTTCCTTGCCACATGGTAGTTGCAAAGCACGAACTCGTCAAATCGTTGGTTTAGGCTTCGACTGCATTGATCTCCGACGGCGCATTGTGTTACGTCGCGTAGCCTCAAGGCATTGAGCAACATGTGTCGCCCACGTTTTGTACCTTCTGCGCCATTGCGGTGTGGGAGGGTGGGCAAACGAACGAATGAGCACGGCCACGACCAGGATCCGTTGGATGGCTAGGATATCCTGGCTTGTGCTCCTGCAAAGAATCCCGATGGATGGGCGCAGGGACTTTGGAGGAGGTGAGTGTTCATTGACTTGGCTTTGACGTTCGGAAGAGAGCAACTGTCATGTTTGAGTGCTGCTAGGATGACGTATTCGAAACGTTGGTCTTGCAGCCATCCCGTTACGCTTTTAGGAAATAGATGCTCTCCCTGACTGCGCTCTCCAAGATCGAGCACGCCGGGCTTCAGTCAACTTGACCAAGGTTTCTCCTGCATTGTGTGTACAGGGGAGCGTGCATTGGGCGGTCATCCTCGATTTGTGGTTTCTCCTTCAAGCAGCAGTCTTTACACCTCAAAAAGTACTCATGCTCCGTACAGTTTTGCTAATTGTGGAAAACGATGAAGGTTCCTTGACCAAATGGCCTGTAGCGATCCTAGAGTCTCGAGACTGTAGCAATCCACGTGACACTTGCGCCGAGTGTTGAGGTAGGAGACACATGTCGTTACATTGCCGGGCAAAAGGATCTGGACGCTCTGCGCTCATGATGGTCTGCTATTTAGATTGTGATTTCCGAAAGCCGTAGTTACGGGGTCACTACCGGACGTCGGGGAGCCGGTGAGGTTCATGTCCGACGGTGGGTCTTTGAAGCCGGAGGGGATGGTGAGGCCGTTTCTCGCACACAGCGGGCTCTTGGCGGGGGTTTGATTCCGCGATGGCGTGCTGCGTATTGCTGCAATGGAAACCCGACCAGCGTGAACTTGGTTGGATTGGAACTCTCTGCATACTTGATTGAACTTGTAGGTTTTTGCTTGTTGAAGTGATGGCACCACCCTGGCCTATATTCTCAACTGGTAGTGTGTACGACCAGGCCAGAATATGTGAACGTTCTGGGGGTTATGACAGGCATAGGTGCAGGCCCCCAACACAAGTATCGATCGGAGCGGGCGAGACACGTTGACAGCTGACAGGCACACCTCTAACCCACCGGCGGTGTGGGATGGCACGCTGAATCATGTGGCTGGCGGATTCTGTGTCATTATGTTGTGATGTCGCGTCGTCAAATCCAACAAGAAACTGGGAATGACGACGGATGAAAAGGACACACATCCCCCGTGGTGCGAGCATGCATGCTGCGAATGTCATTCATCGAACTCATGATTCAATGAGGGGTGGCAGAGCTTGGTTCTTGGACAGGTGGGTGGCCGCATCTGTATGGGTGAATGATGCAAAAGCCTCGGCGTCTGACCACCTCGAGATGGTTCAGGGGTCCATCCATGTCGGGCTTTCGATGGCCGACGCGGAACGAACACCGGGTGTGCTTGGTTGGCCTTGGTTGGCCACGACAATTGGGCAGGCGAGGTTGGGTGAAGAGAGGAGTGGTTGGATGCGTCCTGAGAGGACTTGTCCTTTTGCTGGTACGGCAAATACCGACGGTTTGTTGTCGCCAGCTTGACCTGTACATACATGTATGGCTGTTGTGTTCCATTGGGAGCCGGTGCCGGACCCCGACCAGCCTGTAGAAATGGTACGTTCGGGCTTGGGCCTACGTGCAGCTAGCTACGAGACGTGGTGTACTGTACGTAGAAAGTCCATTCACCTCGACACGCTCTTGTCGATGTGATACGTCTATCTTTGCTGCTGGGGGTGTCGACATGGCGTCGTCACAAATGATGAAAGGGACTGTATCTCGGGGCGAGACCCAGCTCGAGAGTTTTTTTTGTTTTTCGTGCACATCCAGTCGCGTTGTTTGCTGGACGAGTACGGGAATTGTGATTATTCGATGATGACGAATCGGTTAGTCTGTCAGGATGGTTCACGGGTGGCCACCTTGGTCGCCCATTCACCAATGCGTCTCGATCAGAGTTCAAGTCTGGCATGCACTGAAGTTCACTTTCTGCCGCAAACGGGCAGGGAGCGTGTCTAAGGAAAGAGACTCTTGTACTTTACCTGCCTGCCTTACATAAGGTAGGTGCCAGAAAACCTACACAGGAATTATAATGCCTGCCTCAGAAAACGGGAGGAGGGGGGCGGAGGGAGTGACAGCAAAAGAAAGCAAAATTTCGGCGGCACTAGACCGTACCGAGGTACGTGCTCATAGCACTGCATCCTCGCACTGACTCAGGTACTATGTACTCGGAATGCGAAGTTGGTGATTGCTTTGCTTCTTCGGGGTTAAGTGATCCATACCTGTTTCCTATCTTGTCCTGGTCAGTGTCTGCCTGCCGTTGAGTTGACCTTGTGTGAGTGAGCCTGCCTGCCCATCCATCTCGTCTACCGGCCAAGTACCTGTTGCGCGCCCCCCAGTCTCCCTTCCCTGGCGCACGTACCCACATTTCCCTGCCCACCTTTTCTTTCTGTCAACAGGCCCCCAGAGCTTGCCGTCATCTTCCCCAAACAACCTCATCAGCTTCAAACACCCTCGTTGACTAAGACAGCTACATGCGCATATCCAGAGAGGTTCCTGGACGTGAACTCAAGCAGCAGAGCCAGTTTGACTCGTGCCTGGTCGATTAGCCACAAAGCGCAGAGTACCGAAAGCGAGTGAGAGAAAAAGAACGGGCACCTCTCCGCCCTCCCATTTCCGACCAACCTACCCAACCACCATCTCCAAAAGCGACCGTCACTAGGGCCCCCAGTACGAAAAATAACTGACAAGGGCCTCACACCCTCGCCAGAGACCAGCGTCATCAGCTCCACTTTGGCCTGTGTGCGCGCGTGGCGTGGCTGCTCCGAAATTTGCATCCTTGTCGCTGCCCCCTCCAGAAGTACAGGTACATGGTACTTTCATCTCGGTCCCTTTCCCCCTTGGACACGAAGGTGCGAGCCAGAAAAAAAAATCCCACCCTCGTTCCGCCCGCTGCCCTGACGCAGAAGCCGCCCGTGTACCGGTGTTCCCACGCTCCCATAAGAAGCCCAGGTCTCCACTCCTCCCTCCTCCACTTCTGTAGTCCCAGTCAGTCCCCTTCCACCTCCACCGCATCATCAGAGAGAGAGAAAGAGAGAAAAAAAAATCTCGAAGGGACTTCATCACCACGGTCCTTTGAGAGCGCGCCGAATACACACACACACACACACACACAACGGCTCACACCCATATCCCTGACATCGACTCCATTTTTTCACCTCTTGCCATCCCACCCCCTCCCACCCCCTCCCTCGCTCCCAGCATCGCACTTTCTGCCCGTACCTGACAGGTCGCCGCAGAGAGAGAGAATAAGAAGGAATCCCGCCCCATCGACTCCACTCTTGACCCTCTCCAAAACCTCTTCCGAACGGGATCAACTGGATCCTCATCCCACAAAAGCTTCCCACCGCAGAACACACAAACATTCCCACGCGCCGACCTGCCCTTGCATCTTTTCTTGCGGCTCCGTCGTTTCTCCTCTTTCCCTTGGGCTGCGATTTGGACTCGACTCGACTCGACTCGATTCCACTCGACTACGCGACTATTTTTGCCGAGTTGCTTGTTTTTTTCTTCTTCCCCATCGGCACACAACCGAGATCAAAGAACCAAGAGGCAGATCTTGACTGTTGTCTGTTCCGCGCCGACGCCGCAACATTTGGAGAGTGCCCGCCCCCCTCTCCCCTCCCCGCGCACCCACGTTCGAAAACAGAACGCGTCTCTCATCTCTAACCCTACCATACCCACTTTCCCGCCGGCAACGCAAAAAAAGTTGGAACCATGGACGCGTCGCAGTACTCGACCAATGGTATAAACTCGTCCGCTACAGGAACTGGAGGATCGTACCCATCTCCCCCACCTGCCGTCACGCCTCATCAACTCTCCCAGCACAACTCGCAGCAGAACTCTCCCATGCCCCATCACACTCTGCCGCCCCTTCAACCTCACCCCTCCGCCGCCATGAACCAGATGTACGGCAGCAACCCGCACACCCCGCGTACGCCTGCCACGCCGAACACGCCCACCTCCAACGCCGGCGGTAACACCAACGGCAACAGCATGGCCAGTTATCCCAACCAGGCCGCTCACGCCGGCCGCGGTGCTCCTTACCAGATGCAGGCCAATTATCCTCCTCCGCCTCAAGGCTACGCGACGAGCTCCGGCATGATGCCGCAGAGCACCATGGCGCACTCGCACCCTCAGCCCATCGCACCCGCCCCCATTGGCGGCCGAGTGCCCCCCAACCTGCGTCCCATGCCTCCTGGAGGTGTCATGCCGCAGCCCGGTGTGCAGTCTCCCTACGGCCCTGGCGGTATGATGCAGCAGTCTCTGCCTGATGGCGACCAGCCCACGCACGTTGTCGGCTCGCAAGGTCGTCGCGGCATTCTGCCTAGCGCGCCCGGCCGTCCTACTGCGCCCCAAGCTGGCTCTGGTACTGCCAAGAGCACCGTCATCCCCCAGAAGGATGCCGATGGTAAATTCCCGTGCCCTCACTGCACCAAGACGTACCTTCACGCGAAGCACCTGAAGCGTCACCTCCTGCGTCGTAAGTGGACCTCCCTCACCCCCCTCGAATCCCTCAGTCGAGTGAGTCTCGACCTTCTCGCGTACCTCATGCTGACATGGCGCGTCTAGACACGGGCGACCGCCCTTACATGTGTGTCCTGTGCCGCGATACGTTCTCCCGAAGCGACATTCTCAAGCGTCACTTCCAGAAGTGCTCTATCCGCCGCGGAAACCCCAGCGGTGCCACCCACTTGTCTCACCCCCAGGCTCACGTCAAGAAGAATGCCGCCGCCCAGCAAAAGGCGGCCGCTCTTGGCCAGGATAACGGAGACCTGAACCACCTCAATGGCATGAACAACATGTCGGCTGATGGCATCGTGCAGCCTTTCGGCATGATGCCCCAGGTGCCCGAGGGCATGGCCAACCTCGCCAACGACCAGAACCAGCTGTCCCGCGCCAGCAGTCTTAACAGGATGGAGAATGGCAACGGCCAGGACAGGCGCGGCATCCCTGGCATGCCCGGCAACCCCCGCGGAGGCAACTTCGAGCAGGGTTACGGCGGCGATGTCCAGAACCCGATGCAGCCCGGTCTCAACCAGCAGCTGCCCAACTACAACATGCCTCCTGGCCAGAACGGCATGCCCATGTATGGTGGCAACAACCAGAACCAGCAGCCAGGCCTTGACTGGACTCAGATGTTCCCTCCTGGTGCGCAACCCAATCACCCACATGACAATCCCCCCCCTAATAATCGTCAGACGCAGATCGGAGTCAAACTAGAGCCTAATCCCGACGTTTCGAGAACAGAAGCCTTTCCTGGCGTGAAACCGACCGAAGCAACTTTCACGTCTTGGGGCTTACCGGGCATCGGTCCCTGATCCCTTTTCCTACATATCCAACCAAATTCTCAATTTCTTCTATCCCGACGGCTCCTCTATCACCCACGAAACCGCTGGCCTGAACTTGACCTTCTCCCCCGACAACATTAAGGATTTCCTGGAAAAGTACACGCACTTCCACGTGCACTTTCCCATCCTCCACATTGCCACCTTCAATGTGGCTCACTCGTACACCGGCTTACTCGCAGGAATGTGCTGCATTGGCGCTTGCTATTCGGATCGCGTGTCTGCCGACCATGTAAGGCAAATGATGGATTTCCTGCGGTCTGCTCTCATTCGCGACATTCAGTTCATGTCGGAAGCGTTCGGAATCCCCCACGCCGGCGTAGAACGCACAGTCTTTGACCAGAGAGCGACCGAGGAACTTCAGGCCGCCATGCTGATGCAGATTGTCTTTCTGTGGCATGGTACACCGACGCAGCGTCAGACCGGCTTCCAGTCTTTTCCTGTTGTCCTGGATCGCGCTCGCAAGCTTGGTTTGCTCCAGGTATCCACGGGAGCGCCCCTCGTCAGTTCACTTCACCAGTCCAACTTTTCTCCGCACAACTTTGATGTCTCCACTTTCAACTGGGACATGTGGGTTGCGCAAGAGAAGCGGATTCGCTTGATGCACATTATCTTTCTTTGTCATGCGGCATTGGAACTCTATTTCAACCTGGACTCGCACCTGGACAGCTTCGACATGCAGATTCCTTTGCCATCAGATGATGCCGCCTGGGACTCCCGAACCAGTCGAGAATGCGAGGTTGCTCTTGGCCTTCACGGCCCACTCCTCGCACGAGAAAGCAACATGGATGGAACGCAGCGCAGTACCCAGCCAATCATGGCCCAAGTCTTGCGAACTCTGTTCCATAGCTCCTACCAGGTTCAACCGGGCAGCACCAATCTCTACGGCAAATTCATCCTGATCCACGGCATCTTGTCGTCAATGCGAAAGGTTCAGCTGACCGGCAATGCGTCTTTCCTCGTCAATTGCGGAACGCCTCCCTTGTCCGACTGGATGGTGGCGGATCGCTTTGATCCAACCACCGTTTCGGGGCGCAGTACGCCTGTTGAGGGTGGTTGTCAGATGGCACCGGAAGTGCTTGCGCTGTTTGGCGTGGCTCTGGACAAGTTCAAGGCAAATTGGGACGCTGACATGGTCACTCAATTCCCGCCCAACCTTGGCCCGGGCAGCGCGAGACGATATGGGTTCTCGCGAGATGGCGTCCATTTCTATTGGATGGCCAAGTTTCTGCTCAAGCACACACAGCCCGCGCACCTTCAGCAGGCGCCAGATTCCCGGTTTACGAACGTTATCAAGCTTTTAAAGTCTGTCAGGGCTTGGGTCATGTCAGATGGAGCCTCGCGGGGCGAAGAATTGGGGTCGGTCGGCGATATTGACAAGGACTTCGGGGCCATGGATTTGACATTCGACATGGCTGGGCTTTTCAAGCCTGTGCCAGAGGTCGTGGCCACTCCAGGGATACCTTCTGTTCAAACAAACATCGGCGGCATCGGCGGAGGCATGATTTGACAATGGGCAGCTTTGTCCATTTCACTGCATTGTTCGGCGGCGTTTTGTTTTCTCTTTCTCTTTTCCTATTCCTCTTTTTTTTTTCCTTTTCCCCTCTTCCCATCTCATGCTCTTGTTCTGTGCCGTTCACGCGCCGCCACAGGCTGTCACGGCCCGAACTGACACGACTCGCGGGCCGTCGTACACAGTACTCAGTGAACTGCGTTGTTTTGCATCAGAAGCCCGGGAACGCGGTGGTTTGGTCCTGCTATGCATTTTTCTCCGAGGGGCGGTACCACGCAATGATAGAAGGGGAGTGGAGTTGGCACCGCATTAGACTTCTTGCAGATAGAAACTGGGGAGGCTCTTTGGGCGGCCGCAACGGTAGCTCGGGAGATTGTCACGATACTCGGGGGCCTTCCCTGATTACGAAACTTGGGCGCGGGTATGCGCAGAGCAACGGAACTCGGCTGGTGCGGTCTGGTGTCAGATGGTCATTGTCATACGTCTGAAGCAGACACGGTGAGGGAGGCATTGTTGTTTTTCTGATTCTTGTTATTCGGTTCACTTGTTACGCGCGCATGAGAAAAATACGTCAGAAAAGGGGAAGGGGCAGAATTTGACCAGTTGCAGGCCGCATTCAGAATGCAGGACAGCAGGCATCCAGGCGGCATAGATTATGTTGTAGATGTTAGAACCACGACGAGGAGCATCCAACTCGCGTTAACTATGATCATCCCCAACATCCGACTACCTTGGCTTAAGTGTGATGAATGAACTAATTGTACATGTTGTTCTAGAAGACGCCCAAGTGAGAATCCCCCCGGGCCCCAGATATGTTTGCGACAACGCCTGCTCACTCACTGCCCCTCACGCCTGTCGACGACCGTCACACGCGGCACGTAGCGATCGACGACAGCCTTGTCCTCGGCAGGGGCCTTGTACGTCTCCTCGGCGCGGTCGGCAAGGTAGTGGCCCGCGAGGCCCCAGCCGATGATGCCAATGCCGACGCCGATGCGCGTCCTCGAGGAGAGATTCCTGAATGTCCTGCCCGCATCTTCAGCCGACGTGCAAGGAAACAACGGGAGGGGCGAGCAGGGGCGTACTGGAACATTGCAATGTCAGGATAATCTGCTGAACAGTGCCTACGCACGAACGAACGGACGGGTCTGGGTGCTCTTGAGGTCCTTGGCCCTAGCGGCAGAGGTCGGGGTATCGTCGGGCGCGTGGGCGATGGAGAGGAATCGAAAGATGGCGGGACCCTGTTTCGTTGGCGTTGTGAGGACTGAATGTCGCAGGAGGGATGAGGGTTGAGAAGTAAGCATGTCCTTCATTTGGGAAGTGCCGCCCAGTCCAAGGGCGTGAGTGCTAAGGTAAGATCCCGGGCCAGACTCCACTTTGCTCCTATGCCGCTGGCGCGAGCACGCAGTCTACGACTCCCGTCCACCAAAGTTCACGATCAAGGCTTGTTGTGATCAACATTTTACGCTTGTGATTCCCGGCGAAGAGCCGAAAGACTCTTGTCGTTGATTCGACGTCCGTCCGCCGAGGGGATTGCTGACAGTCACGGAGGAGAGATTGCAAGGCTGGCCCTGCGGATAGGCTTCTGAATACAGCAGCGTCGATGCCTCCGTGCTTCTCTCGATGGTATTCAAATCATGGCACATGGACACATGGCACTTATGACCCTTCGTAGGAGATACCCGGCCAGGACCAGAACACGCTAGTCGCGTGACAACCACGGAGCATGATCTACAGCCATGAGTTGCTGCTGCTGTCTTCACTTGTATGTCTTGGGCATCATCACCGCCCCATCACGGGCCATGACGATACGGGCCGTTTTATGCAAGTTAGGTATCATTAGCAAGAAGGAAGCGTACATTGAAAACAGTAAAAGCAAAGCATTCAACGCCCGGAGGCGTCGTCTCGGATAGCCCCCTCCATTTTTCATCCCCTGAACTCCTCAGAAGCAACCCGAATAAAACCCAAGCCTGCCCCCGGCGGTCTCCTTCCGTTTCCCCATCCGTTGCTTTACTGGAGCATCGAGTGGGTACGGATGCCCTTGGGGCCCATTTCGCTGCGGACAGGTCAGTTCAACTGAGGGCAAGAGGAAGCGTGAGGGAGACAGAAGAGAGACGGTGGAAGAACACATACTTGTACTCGATACGATTCAGGCTCATCATGCGCTGGGCGTCAAGGCTGGCCATGTCCAGGTTGTGGACGGTGAAGGCGAGCCGACCGGCCACCAGACAGCCGAGGAACATGGCATCCTCGAAGCCGTGCTTGGTCCACTGCGTCAGGTAGGTGGGCATGGGTGCCAGCTTGATGCTCGTGGGCGTCTGGCTGTGGAAGTGGTACGAGTGGCCGCCCGAGGTGCTGTTGGGATCGCCGACGGCACTGCCAGGGGCGCCCGGAGTAGAGGGTCCGCCAGGCGGGAGGCCGAACGAGGAGGCGGTGGTAGCAGCCTGCAGCAGGGGGTTGACGCCGGACGACGTGGTGCCGGAGGGGCCGAGCTGATGGGGAGCACCTGTGAAGGACCCGGTGGGGGTCTGCGCTCCGGTACCGGTAGGCGTGGCCATGTTGGAGGGAAGCTCCGAGGTGAACATGGTGGCAGTGCTGGGCGAAACGAGGTGACGGGCCAGCAGGGTCTGGTAGATGTTCTCGCGGAGGCCGCGCAGACGGGCACCGCCTCCAACAATGACAATGTTGTCCCAGCAGGCGGGGCGCATGTACATTTCGTAGACACTCTCCTGAATGGTGCGGTAGATAGTGCCGACGATGCGATCAACCTCATCGCGGTTAACAAAGAGGAAACGCTCAAGGCCAACCTCAATATCGCGACGGACGCGTTTGTTTACAGGCTGCGCGTTCAGGGCCACGGTAGTGTCCGCCTCGGGAATCTCGGAGGCCACAGCAGCGACGGACTCGGGAGCCGGCGGGGCAGGGGTCGCTTCAGCCTTGACCTCAACGCCATTGGCGTCCGTCTTGGACTCGGCCGTCTCAGAGGTGGGCTCAGAGGGCTTGGCTTCATCGGCGGAAACGGGCGCGGCGGCGCTGTCGGTCTTGGGCTCGTCAGTCATGTCGACGTCTTTGTCGTTACCATTGCTGTTGCCGTCAACGGAAGCATTGGTTTCTTTGGATGCACCGTTGGGCTTTGGCTCCTGCTGGGGCTCCTCCTGGATGACCTCCTCGTAGTGGAAGATATTGTGGGTTCGCTTCGAGTTTGGGAGCCGGGTCAGCCGGGCAGTTTCGGCCTCCTGTGCTTTTCCCTTCCGTCCTTTGCCGGGTCCGGCGGCGGTCTTTTCCTTTTCCTTCTTGGCAAGGAACTCGCGAGTCTGGCCGCTGGTGACGATGCTAGTAATATCGAGAACGCCGTCATTATCGCCGGTCGTGGTGGTAGCAGCAGCATCATCATCAATGCCACCCTCGACGACGGGCTTAGAGGGATCAATCTTGGGGGCGTCGGGAATGGCAGCTGCAGCGCCATCACCAACGACAGCGTTTGCAGCGACGCCAGCCGTGGAGGCGGTAGGGAGATCCATGCGTGCTTCAGCCTCGGGGTTGTAGGGAAGAGCTTCGGCAATGGGGCTCTTCTTCAGCTGCTCAGCCATGTCGTACGTGAAGCCTTTGTCCTTGAGCAAACTTTGAAGCTTGCGGGTGAAGACTTCGCCGCCAGCAATGATCCGTTCGGGGTTGAAGTTGCCCAGCATTCGGTGAGCAACTACGCGACCCTCGTAGATGCAGGACACATCGACCTTTTCGAAGCCAATGTCGACAACGGTAGCATTGGTCCATCTAACACCATAGGTCGTTGCGAGGCCACTGTGGATCATGCAGAGAGCGGGCGTGCGCGTGTTCTCGAAGATGTAGCGGGCAATCATCTCGGTATGGGGGCGAGCCCACTGAGGGGAGACCATGAGAACGATCGGGGTGTTATGGTACGTGGTCGTCAGCAGACCGTGAACATGGTCGAGGAAGGCGAGGAAGGCATTCATGTTAACGATGCGACCAGCTGCCGGGTTCGGCGTGTCAGCACATTGTGTCTTTCGTTCCTCGGCGGGCCCAAGCCCAGAGAGGGCAAGCCAGGCGCGCGCGCTGCAAGCCAGGCAGGAGCGCGCGCTGCAAGCCAGGCAGGAGCGGCGCGCCGCGCGGCGCAACGCAAGGCGGAGGGACGGGATAGATAGACTTACCAACAATGGGATACACAGCGCCCTCGTCAGAATCCGTGTCCTCGACCCATTCGTACTCATCTTCGGCGCCAGAGGCAGGCGCGTTGTCGGTGCGGGCCTTCTTGCGCTTGTAGGTGTGGTAGGGACGCCACTCGTCGCTGTCGCTGTCCTTGAACATGCGCGTGGGGATGCGATGCGCCGGGGGCGTGAGCTCGCCGCAGCCGAGCTGGGCCATGGTTGTGTGACTTCCGGGGCAGATGACGAGGATCTGGTCATCCCGGAACTTGCCCGTCTGGCTCGACATGGTGACGGTCTTCTTCGCCGGGGTGGAAGGCGGCTTCCTGGGAGTGGGGGTGGTGGGCTGTGACGCCTGGCGCTTCTGGCGCTGCTTGTCTTGTGCCTTGTGGAGGCCCTGAGCTGCCTTGCTCTCCTTCTTGCTCTGATTCTTCTTCGTCTGTTTCTTCTCGGTCGAGGGAGTGCCGGGATAGGAAGCGGCAGGTGCTGTCGCAACAAGCGAGGGTGTACCGTGAACGGGAATTGGGCGGCTGAAAGAATCAACCAGGCAACTCTCCTCAGTGGGATCCGGGTATTCAAAACGACGATGGTACAAGCCAGGGTCGGCGATGTGGCGAGGCTCGAAGTGGTGAAGCTGATGCTGGACGTAGGAGCTTCGGTCGCGATCTTGTTCCTGATCGGGGTCCTGGTCCTGGTCTGTGAGGGGCGCCAGGAAGGTATTGAAGTCGAAGCTGCTTCCCGACGCGTTCCTGCTGGGCATGGTCATTGGCGAATGGGATGGCGTTTTGGACGCTCGGACCAAGTTCTAGGTGTGAGGCGCTAATGTGGCTTGTAAAGGTGCAAAAGTGTGGCGCCTTGTGATTTCGCTCACAAGAACCCCAGACAAAGGTGTGGGAAATAGGTATGGAGGAGAAGACAAAACGCAAAAGACGACTGTTATTCATATGGCTCTTGCTCTTGCTTTGAAAGACTGAGTCTCTCTCTCTGCGCTCCAAGCTCCAAGCGGTGACCACATGGCGCCCCCCAAGCCCCAGCGCAAGATCGCCGTGACGACGATGACAAAAAGGACAACGACAATGGGAACACTCACGCAGGGACGTTCAACGACCATGTCAACAGTGCCTCATTAATACCCCGTTGACATGTTGGTATTGTCATGCAAGACCTTACATGGACCTAGGCTGGCAGGGCCAGCTCTCGAGACACAACGTTCACCACGTCCAGTCATTCCATGAGAGCTCACAAGCCAGTTCTGGTTGAGGAAGAAATTATGTTAGGTAGATATCGTACTTCTCCTAAAGACTCTTTTAGTATCGTCTCCGTGGCTGATGTCCCAGCAATCCGTTATCATAAGCCCATGGCTTGCGACCAAAGATGTGAAATGCATGACGGCCCTGTCCTGGGCGTCTACCCCGCCACGCGCCGCCATCCTGGCAAAACTCATGCGTGCGATAAGCGCAGGTTCTCTATCCTGGCTGACATCGCCAATTCATCCGGACATGTGCCCTGGATACCAAGCCCAAAAACGCCTCATCAATGGCCCATCCGTTCATGGGACATGCCAAACTCCTTCCTGCCCATATATGCAGAAGTACCATACCCCACCACAGCACCAGCAAAACTGGGTACCGATATGTTTCGTCGAAGAAAAGGTGAGATGAAAGAAAGAGTTGAAAAAAAAGAAGAAGAAAAGAAAAAGAAAGAAAAAAGGATTACATCATCATCCAGGCATACTGGCTATGCTCATGCCACAGAAACCGGTCGGGGCGATACGGCTTGGGTCTCTGCCGCCTTCTCCGGTTTTGACTGTCGCCTGGGGTTCCTCATGGGTGGGAATAAAGCGTCAACCTCGTCATCCGAGGGAAAGGCACCGGGCGCCGCAGGTTGAGGACTGAGGTCTTCCTTAGCCTCGTGGAATTCTTGTGAGGTCTTGGTGGACAACGGAATCTTGTCAACCTCGACGGCCTCATCGCCCTGCTCCCTGGATGGGGCCACTGCTACAGGTTCGTCCACCGCCGGAGTTTCCAGTATGGAAGGGATCTCGCGGCCTTCGCTGCCTGCACAACCAGCGTCGTAGGATTGCCTCGGCGAGGTGGTAAAGTTGGAGTGCAGAGGGCTTGCGAGGTGGCTGACATCGCCCAGCTCACTCTTGCTCGCTCGCGAAGCCCGCGCGGGACTTCTGGTGGGAAGGGGCGGGGGAATCCGCTTGGGAATCGTCACAAGGGAACCTTTGACCTGAATGGGAGATGCAATCATAGCTGTGCGGGCTGTCGGCTGCAGAGACGCCACCTCATAGATGATGGGCTCCTCGTCGTCCTCGCTCTCATCATCCTCGTCGTCTGCGTCGTCGTCGCCGTCGTTCTCATCGTTCCCCATCTGGGACTCCATCTCCTCCTTCTCATAGATGCTCGAAGCCTTGGTGGCTGTGTCGTCCAGTGTGCTACCGTCTGTCCTCGAATGTCCATCGGTACTCGTGGCGCTGTCTGTCATGGTACAGCTCTCGATCGAGTGGCTGCCGCTGATCTTCCTGATCGGTGTGAGATCAATCTTGGTGTAGTCGACCTCATCAGGTTCCTTATGTGGGGTTTCTTGGTTGCCAGCCGCTGCATCCCGTCCATCCTCACTTTGGCTGTGGGACGGTGTCGTGCTGGGGGTCTGGCACAGATCAGTCTGTGTATGAGCATCAGACATCTTCGTCGTCTCTGTCCTTGTTGACATGTAGCTGCCCCTGTTGCTCTCAGTGACGGATGCTTGTACACTCTGCCGGCTGAATTTGGAAAAGGCAGGGCTAGTCGGGCTAGGGGAATAATCGAAATGGCGGCTTCCTGGTCTGAGACGCGTGCCGGCCTCGCGGATTTCCAATCCAGCCATCTCCAGGGCAAGGATGCCGAATGGGTCTGGATCAGCGGCGTTGGGCATGCCAAATGCCCCGGTGGGCGATACGGGCGAATCGCGGGGTGTGGCAATCATGGCGTCACCAGGGGCTGGCTGGCTTGAGAGCTGGTTGATGATCGCAAGGTCTGCATCGATGCGGCCTTCGGCGGCCTTCAGAACCTCGGTCAAAGGTAGGGTTTCTTCCACCTGTCGCGCGACGTTGCCTGCAAGAATCTGCATAGGCGTCACTTCTCTCCCATAGAATCTCTCGTTCTCATTGCCCCTTTCCCTCAGGATGCAGCCACTGAGGTCGACGGTTTGAGCTTGGCCTCTGGCCTTGAGGTAGGTCAGAACGGTACCGTCAAAGTCTCGCCATCGCACGTCGTCGCCGGTCGACTCGAGTGAGACGAGAGGTCCGCGAGTGAGACCAATGTCTTCTCCAAGTGTAACATTTGCCCTTGTGATTAGCGACTCCAGGGCCGCCATGTTGTTGATGACAAGGACGCAGTCGTATATGTCGACTCCCATGATGAAGCTAAGGATGGGAGTGTGGGGTAAAATGCCCGAGGGCGGCGACCAGGTGCCGTCAGCCTTCCGCGCAATCAGGATGCCCGAGCCTCCCGAGCCAGTCATCCAAAGACCGGAGCGCATGCATGTGAAGATGGCGATACCAGCAGCATTTTGTATGATGCGCGTTGGGATCTTCTGGAACACCTGGATGGGGGTTTGCGGTTCGGCAGAGCTGGCGGAATTGGCGGAAGTGATGGAATGATTGTCATCCTGCAGAGGCGCGAGGTATCCGTCGGCTGGAAAACTTGTCAGCAAAGTTCAGTAGCGGCAGGCATGCCTCGCTTTGCCAGGGCATCACAACGTACAGCAGAAGGACTTGAGGATCCTCGCAGACCGATCACACTCATGGTCGAGGGTGGCTGGCCAAAAGTCCTCGCGAGCGATCCGGGAAGTCGTTGACAAGCGCTGCAGGGGTTTGGGGCGTTTGTCGGACGAGCTCGACAGTCTCTCTATGGAAGCCTTGGTCGATGTGCTGGTATTGGATTTTCTCCGGTCCCCCCAAGAAGGTAGCAAAGCAGACACGCGCTGCATGATCGAAGCACTGCGGTCGCCCAGCCGCTGTCGAAACGATGCAGTCGATGTGTGGTTTTAGTGGCACACCAGCGTCGTCTCTGCAGGCAGAGTCGCCAGGAGAGGAGAGGTTGAGGATGGGAGACGGAGGGCGGCGAGTCCGGGAGAGGGTCGGGGTTGGGCCTTTGCTTTAGGTCGAGAGACAATGGTGGGAAGAGATAGCGAGCCTGTCTCCTCCGCACCGACAGCGCAGCATAGCTCGGCAATGTCGAATATCTTGGCCGGACGACAGAGGCTGACTGCGGCGCGGTACAGCAAAACTGGGGGAGGGGAGGGAGAAAAGGAAGCGAAGGGACAAAAGCAAAAAGAGTTGGGCCTGGGTCCTGATTCTGGGATAGAAACCTGGGTACCTAGGTAGACAGGCAGATCAGTCTTCAGTGAGAGCGCTTATGTCGATGAGCAGCAGTAGCCGGCGGGAACGGCGTCAATCCGAGTTGGCTCGAGTTGGGACTTCAGCTGACGGTCTGGTTTCTTTGCTTGGCGAAGGAAAGGAGACTTGAGGATGTCAGGAAGAACCCGGTAGCAGTCCGTTGGTTGCGTGAGACGCGATGTGTAGGTAGGTGTAAGGTAGGTAAGGTAGATGACGGATGGGGATGAACCAGGTGGACTTGCATGGCCTGGCAAGCCTGACGAAAGTTTGGTGGTCCGTTCGGAGGGAAGCAGGGTCACCAGCGGATCCTTGGTTTTGTGCTGGTCATTCTTACTTTGGTCGACAAGACGCAATGACAGAGCAGCGCGGCGCAAACTTCGCAGACTAGCAGGCAGACGGGCCAGCAGACCTTGCAGGCAGCTGCAGCCCAGAGCTCCAGCGGTCCCAAGTTGTGGGCAACAGGTCAGGGATCCAACGTAGCAAGGTACCATGTACGAAGAGCGGAGCCAAGGCGACAGGGGTAGGCTTGCAGGGGGGCGTGCAGGGGTGGGCAGGGGTGGGC